TTGTTGCATCTAGTCTGCAACAGGAGTTTATCTGACAGCTTTACCGAGTCCTGGAGGAATCCAGATTACGGGAAAAACTCCCAGTGACATCACATATGAACAGCACATCTCCAATATGCAGAAGAAAATCAATGACACCATTACTAAAAACAAAGAACTGTATGAAATCAACCCTCCTGTAAGTACATATACACATCAAGTGTATTTCAAGCCTTTTATTTTATCCACTTGTTCCTCTTTTAAAAACACAGCTAAAACATTTTTTTTTAAATTCCTTCATAGGAGGTTGTCGAAGAGATCATTGGTTCGCCGATCCCTGAGCCCCGTCAGAGGTCTCGTCTCTTTCGTTCTCACTCAGAGAGTTCAGATGAGGTGTCAGAACTAGACTTATCCCATGGGAAGAAGGATGCCTTTGTGTTGGAGGCAAGTTGGCTTGTACTGGAGGTTTATGGATTCTAGAGATGAACATGGAGATGCTGGAAATGCATTTTGCAGATCTTTTTAATGTTTTAATACTCTTCTAGATTGATGACACGGATGCTGTGGAAGATATACTTGCACTTCTGACTGATTTCTCCATCCCAGCAGGTAAACACTTCTGCTAGACCACTGTTGGACTCTATTCTGTGTTTACTGGGCTATATATTCACCTGTACATTCTCTTGTCTTCCCTTCAGGATTCTACAGCTGCAACACTGAAATCATGCCTGGGATTCAGAACTGGACTTCAGCTATACAGGTACCGTTCATCCCAGCTAACCTGTCCATCTCCTGAAAATTGCAGATAGTGTGTTGATGTGTTTACATCTTCAAGAACTCAAGACTCAACAGAAACCAACAGTATTTTAATAAAGCCAGAATGGGAGCAAGAGCCAATTCAAACCACACGAGATGGTATCAATTTCATGAGCAGTATTTTTATATATATTAACAATGAAGACAGTTACTGTTGCCCTAATATTTGCAGACAGATGAAGCTATTTTGAGAGATGTTTGCTCTGGAAAGACAGATTTATTGTCTCTATATAATGTTAATATGTTGTTAATATTTTTGGTGTTGAATCAAACATTTTTCTTAAGATGTTTACCTCCGTGAGGGTCTTTCGCCTTAACGCCAACTTGACCAATCAGGGACTGAATAAGATTTTCAGTGACCTCTGTGAGAACCTGCTTAAGGTGAATACATTTTCCTGAATACATATTTTCTGAATATATTTATCTATTTTTTTCTGAAGAGATCAGTACAATAATAGTTGATATGGACCAGCTAAACCAAATTATTAAAGTATGTTTGGATATCACTACTCTAACTGAAATATATGTGTGCTCTGTAGAGTTTGTACTTCAAACTGCGGTCGATGGTCCCATGCTGTCTTTGTCACCTGAACTTCACAGTGGCCATACCTGAAGATGAGCTTATTCAGGTGAGAACACACCTGACCTTATTATGTTTTTGTTAAATATGTTATTAAACTTTCAGTTTGTGATCTTATTACTGTTAAACAGCAAAAAAGAAAGAAAGAATGGAACCCTTAAGGTCTGTTTGTCCTGTTTAGATTTTTTTTACCTCTGTCCCACATGATTGGTTTAGATATATTTGATATTTATTGTTTATTTACATATTTACCTCTATATCCTAACTCAAGCTACTGCTACTGTCAACTCGAACTACTGTCAAATGTGCATTTCTAAGAGACAAAAAAAAAAGTAATATTATAATTTTGTCAAATTTAAATTAATATTGCAGCCTGCACTTCAAACTGTGCTGAAGATATGCATCATCAAAGTCAGGCAACACAAACCTGTTTTATGATTTGAAACAATATCACTCATTAGAA